AAAAAAAAGAAATGTTTATTATAAAGAAAAAGAAGAAAATCAATTCACTTCATCATGATTCGAAACTGGTTCATTGTTAAGTCCGGCATATAATAAACTTGGTTTTCGTTGACGTTGTCGTTTAGTTAAAAACAGAAGTACAGTAAATAGAGCAATAGTACCGAATATAACTAAACCAATTGATGACCATCGAATAATTGTAAATATTCGAAGAACTTCAGATTTAAAATCATCGGCTGTTTTCTGATCGATTACTGTCGATTCATTTATCCAAACAGCTGGCATGATTAAAGTAGGCACATTTTTGAGACCATCAAATAATGGATCATGTTCAAGATAGACATTGATTTGTATTCGTTCTTGAGCATTCAAAACGAATCCAGTATGAGGTTCGATTTGAAGTACAGTTCGATGAGCATCCGCATCCGGTGCTAATCCATCGATATGTGCTTGATAATGTTCAGCAGCATAGAGAAAATGTGGCTGTGAAAGAATAATCGGTGCGCCTTGTTGACATGTACTAACATTGAGTACACCGGAATCGAGATTACCGAAACCGGCATTTTCCGGATTGAGTGTTGCATTATTGAAAACTTCGGCTGGAAGCGAAAATGTTTCCGTCGGGATGTTTAATACTGATGAATGACTGTCGAATGTTAGATAAATTGAACGACAAACATCTGTGGAAAATACATACAAACGTTCCGATTGAAGTTTATCGGTCGATAATGGAGGAAACCAACTACCATCTGTACCATTGATTTGATTAGATTGTGTTGAATTCCAATAGGTTAAATATGAACCACCATTCCATTTGTTGATATAATTTAATCGATTTATGTCATTTTCACCTAGAAAAAAGAGCCTGCAAATGAAACTTTCTGTTTTGTTGAGCTATTCTGTACCTGTAAAAACCGTGTACAATCCATCATCGGTGGCATTTCTTCCGTAGAAATAACCGAAATGATCATCGGGAATTAATGATCCAACAATTGGTATTTTCTTGACTGCTTTAAATAAAGGTTCTTCATAACCCCAAATCCATTCATTCGCTGTACGTTTTACAAATAAAGTTTCATCAAATACTTCAGCAATAAGATTGACAATTTCTTCATAGATAGCAGGTTTCGATAGATTTCGTGCAATATTTAAAATCGTTATTACTGGTGTATTGATCATGAGTACTGGTAAACTGTCATCAGCTGCAGACATATGTCGAACAAATGTATAAGAAGTCGGTTGACGAAAGCTTACTGTTAAATTTGGATTAAAAAAAACATCGGTTTTTGTTTTATTTTCTATATAAGTAAATGGGCCACGTTGAACAACCATTGGTTTTCTTCCCTGTTGTACAACATCGTTCGGATTGACACATTCCCATAGCCAAAATTGAATATAGGTCGGCACCGGTTGATTAATCCACGAATCGAGTTTATCCGAATCAGCACTGAGTGGTAATTGTTTCACGACTTGATTTTGAATAACTTTTGGACCGAAAATAATTCCAAAAACACCCGCAATTGTTAGAATAAGCGAGACAAATATGCCAGTGGCAAACAGACATGAGATGCACGTCGACGAGACCATGAATAGAGATGTGTTGTTATCTAACTTCGTTCGACAATGCGAATGACGACCTTTGATATGTTTCGTTCTTTTGTTTTATCGTTCGTCATGTTTGTTTAGATATATGCAAAGTCATCGTGTCAACGAACATTGGAGAAACATCTATTACGATACCAGGCATCCGTCATGTTATAAATTGTGGACGTGTTAAAACAAAAATATTTAATGCACAAACAGGTTTAGAAATTTTACAAGTACAACAAATTTCTCAAGTTCAAGCTTGGCAACGAACAGGACGAGAACGTTCAGGAACATGTTATCGAATGTATACGGGTTTGAAATCAACTATTTCTGTTTTTTTTAACAATAAAGAAAAAACGTTTTGTAGAAGAAGAATTCAAACAATTACCAGCTACACCCATCCCAGAATTACTTCGATGCAATTTGGCCAATGCCGCTTTGCAAATATTAGCTATGGGTATATCGAATATAGATACATTCGATTTTTTCTCGAAACCGGACGAAAAATCCATCTTGGCTGCTTTATGTGAATTAACCTATCTTCGAGCAATTCAACCGATTAATACCAATGATAACATCGTGGAATTGACGAATGATGAATGTAAAATGCAATCAATTCAATATTTTTCTCATTTAGACTTTCACGATGTATTCTAGCCGCATCAGATATGGGTTGCTTGGAAGAAATACTCAAATTAGTCAGTTTGATGAGTGTAGAAACAGTATTTCTCTCATCATCAAATGCTAATGATAAGATCCAACTTCAACATCAGAAATTAACAATGAACGAAGACGATCATTTGACATTATTGAATGTTTACAAGAAGTTTGTTGCCAATAAAAAATCGAAAGTAAATCATTTTTTGATTATTTATTTCCAACAATTCAATTTCAATAACTCCATAGGAATCGTGTCAAATGAATAAAATAAATCGTCGTAATTTAATTCGTGCATGTGAAATTCGCAAACAACTCCGTCGAATTTGCATTGAATTAAAACTGAATATAAAATCATGTGGAACAAAATACACAATTCTCAGGTAAACAAAAAGAAAAAACCGAAACCAATCTTCTTTCATCATATTCGATTCGATTCAGACAAGCACTTGCTTCATGGTCTATTTATGAATGTTGCCGAATATTACAAAGAGAATAACTATCGAACAATAAATGATCATCATATTGTTAAAATTCATCCGAGTTCGATATTATTCGGTGCGAAGCCATCGTTAGTGATTGTCACTGAATTAATTTAGACAAGCAAACGTTTCATTCGGTAGGTAAAAGAAAAAAAAATTTTTATTTCGAAATTTTTCAAATCTTCTAGAGATGTAACAGTAGTCGAACTGGAATGGTTACTCGAAAGTAATGCAGATTATTTCAAAACACGTCTTTCTTCCAAGTAGAGAATTTAGTGTAGAAAATTCTGTCGGTGATTAGACTACCGTAACGCGTTTCGCCTCAGTCACGAGGATCTTCAGATGTCTAAGATATCTTTAATATGATCCAATTCCACTTATCAGAAGCAGAAGAATTAACTATAACAATATGATGAGTAGTTGATTATTATTCTTATTCAAATATAACCTTTCTCTAATGAGTGCACTACTCTCAAGATGAGAAAAAAAGGGAGAAGAAGAGAAGAAGTTTTTTTGTTTTTTTGCAGTTTTATTAATTGACTAGTTTCTGTGGAATTTAAACCGCACTTCTTCAGAACTTTACAAAAAGCAAAAAACAAACAATTATTATCGAGGGTTAGAAGAGCTCATGATAAAGCTTAACAATAATAATAATAAAAACAGGAACACAACAAAGACTCTGTACTTTTGCCGGAAGGGCCTCAAGTACTTAAATTAAATTAAATATACTGATCATCTGAACCATTTGAGAACATAAGTCGATGTTGTAACATGCAAGTATGCTCACTGATATTGATAATGTACTTGTTTAGACAGCAGTTGTTATTGTTGAGGTTGAGGTTGAGGTTGAGTAGTCATAGCTACCATTATACAAAGACCAGTTACATTGTTAGGGTTATGTAAGACCCTTAACGGTGAGTTATGTATGAAGACAAGTTTCATCGTTAGGGCTATGTAAAACCCATCTTGGTATATACCAATTTGCCTGTCCAACAAGATAATCTTGAAGACTATCTAATCTTCTAGAACCAACGATAGGTTTCATATTACAAATGGCTGTGTCAGAAAAGTAATCGTCCCAGCGGTTATGAAAACGGAACGGAAAATCATGCATACCTTTGCAATACGAAAAGTGACACTTAATGTCAACTTCAAAATTAATTGCAGCCTTCTTTACATTCTTATCTGCGGTTTCGAGAAAGATTTTTCTTATATATAAGAAATTCATATCTGTAGATATCGTACATTGAAATGTCTGCAGGACTCTTTCAAATTGTTTAAGAATAAAATTCAATGGGTATTTGTTCAGTAGTAACGATATACAAATATGGGCTTCTTCTCGTTTAAAAGCACCATAGCAAGAAGAATATCGTATTGTTCTTACTAGAGCTGCAAATGGAATATTCTTTTTTATATGTCATGCGTGTATGCTTGTGAAAGGGAGGAAATATGGTTCATGTGATGGTTTACGAAAAACCTCGGAAAACAATTTTCCACCACTTATCATTAGTTTTACACCAAGGTACTCCGCAGTTTGTTCTATGGATTCTGAAAGTTCGATATTATTATCGAGCTTGTTCCAGAAATTTACAAGACATCTTAATATATTTACATGTACATTTGACATTATGAACAGATCATCAATGTATCTATAGTATAATGAACATGTCCTGTTAGTCCATTTTGAAATAGGACGTTCAACAAAGTACATATATGCATGAGCTATTGTAAGGGTCAGTGATGAGGGTGTGAATGTGGGTGGGTGTGGGTATGGCTGTGGCTGTGGCTGTGGCTGTGGGGGTGGTATGGGTGTGGGTGGGTGTGGGTATGGGTGTGGATGTGAGTATGGGTGTAGGGTGTGGCTGCGGCTGCGGCTGTGGATGCGTATATACCCTTTAAGCACACCCACATCCACCGACAACCACACCCCAAAACAAGCTTCTATCAGGAGTATGATTTTATTTTTATTTACCATAATATTGTTGTATCATTTGGATCGCGGTATGTGAAACTGTTAGCCGTCCTTGTTGTTCATGATCTAAATCATCATACGTTCGACCAAGTACTCTTTCAAGTGTTGATAAATGATCATATTCTCGTTTGTATTTTTCATACTAAAAAATATAAAGTTAAATTAATAAAATATTTACAATTCATATTTACCGCTTCAATTACGACATTATACGGTTAATATCGTATAGATCGAAGAAAAGCCTCTTCGTCGAAAACGGCGGTGTCGCTTTCAGTACTCATCTAAAATTTGTAAAAGTTAATTTACTGATAAATCAACTCGTTTTATTTGTACTACAAAGAACAATCACTAATTCAATATATTTTTCTTTCTTTAATCTACATGCATGATTTGATTTTTTCGCTTCAAAAAGATGATTACGTAAAACATCATTTAACATTGAATCAAATTTACCCGATAGTGCAGGTAAATATCTAAACATTAATGTATCTATACCACCGATTTGTTGATTAAATGTTTCTATTGAACGAAATATAACATGAGATAATGGAAGCTCTTTAATCATTTTATGTTGATTGTTAGAACGATGTACAAAATCATTGATCAATGCATAACTAAAATTATAAGTATCTATTGTAAATTCATTTAATATTGTTGCATCAGTCTTAAAAATTAAAATAAAAGATCTGAAAAGTTTTTCAAACGAGAAACAAAGAATCTTTTTTCCCAATGAATCATGTTGATAAATCCCAAAATTAGAAGCAGATGATCTAATCATTAATGAGAGAAAATCACTATAAATAATACGTTGAAGAATTTTAATTCTACAATCCGTCATTTTCATTTGCTCTATATTAATAAATAAAAAAAATTAATTTCAATATAACCAACAAACGATTCTTAAATGTTTGAAGTTCATCAACTTTATTTTTATTATTTCCACAAATCATCGATGCATCCAAATAAGGATTTGTTTGATTAATTTGTTCTCTAGCATCTAATTTAAATAAAATTCATTTTTGAATTTTTTAAAAATTTATTGACTATGTTGACAATCTATATTTTTTTGAAAAGATGCGTTTGAACGTGGAAAAAAGCGTACATATTTGATCAGACATATCAAGTATTGAAACATTCATACAAAATGGGTTTTTATTTTTTCTTGACGCTGACAATTAATTTGTTTACCTTCATCATCTTTACCATTTGCAGCACTTGATAAATCATAATTAATAAATTGAGCAAATGATGTAAAAAAAAACAAATATATTGAGTTTTCAATAACGTTAACTACTTCATTTGAACAAGTTTTTGACATTTCACGAGATGATGTTAATGGAATTTCGATCACAGAAAGATTATGAAGAAAAAATTCGCCTGAAAAAAAAAGTTTTATTTTATTCTTAAAATTCATATTATACCATCAACATAATTAGCTTTCATTAAACGCCGAAATGGGCGTGGGTGTGGATGTAGGTGACTATTTATCTTCTTCGATGAACAACACCCACCCACCCGTAAACTAAGAAAATAACCTAGAAATTAAAAAAGAAGAATAACGAGATATTAAAAGATAAATGAACAAGAGCTAAGAATGGGTTGTGCGAAAAAGTAGAACTTTTAACATACGTGGGACGTTAACTAGAAGAAGTTGTGTGGAATCTGATTGTAGTTTATAGTTTTGTGAAGGAAAATATGGTAAATAAATCAGATAGGTTTTCATGTTATGATGATTTAAAGGTGACAGTATATAATCAATATTTTATTTTGCTGTTGAATACTCAATATCGATCGATGGTAACAGATACTGTCGTCGAAGGAATATTGATAATATAAAATGAATAACACATGTAATATAAACAAAGAAGCATAGTAACGACGATGAAGACATATGCATATGAGAAAAAGTAAAAAAACAACAAGGAAAAAGAAAGTCTAATACAAGTTCGATTTAAAAGTTATTTCTTTATTTTTGTATTAGGATTAAAAGTTGACCTTAGCCTTTCAACATCATCGACCAAATCCAATAGTTGATTTATTTCAAGCATAAATAGCCATTGTAATTTCTCTGTATTTTTGCTCTAGAAAACAAAATTAAAAAGAAAGTAGAAATGAGAAAAAAACACTAGAGATAATTTTTACTAGTGCCTCGATCATAATCTCAATCATTTAAATATATGTCGAAGTTTCGTCATTCATTCTACGATCGGTCAAACATTGAATAATTTGGCTATAAGAAATCAAGTTACAATAAGCCGATATATTTGATGCCTTTAAATGTGTAGTTGAAATGATCGACTGAATAAAAAATGAATCTAGGACAGTAAGTAGAAATTGCAATCATACATATATATATGTATACATTGAAAAGCGAAGAAAAGCCAAATAGAAACATAAGAAAATACAAATTTATATATTAGTTACACTAATGATTGGCGTCTTTTCTTTCGTTTATAGTGAGTAATTTCAGATGGCGGAAAATTTATCTGATCATTTAATGGATATTGTGTTTTAACATCAAAACATTAATTTAGTAATGGCAAAACAATTGCACATCGCATAAATTCGCATATGTTGACGATATTTGACTTCATTACGAATAAACTGATAATAATTTTTGTTTATATTCGATAAAAATTTCCGATGATAAGTTTTCAAATGTGTGTCTATGCCGCAATTCCATGAAGCAAATTGCATTATTGTATTAAGCCGCTCATTAAAAACGAGAAAAAGAGCTGTTTGTATGTAATATGGTTTTTCATTTGATGTCATCCGATGTATCATAGAATATTGAAATGTCAACTGATACCAACATTTAAAATATTCATGTAGGTCAATTAAATGTGAATCATACAAGTCGTTTTCCTTAAATAATTCATATTGATAAAATGGAGATAAGTGTTCTTTTGGATCTCTCTAAGCAAATATATATTTATTGGTAGAAAAGATTCGTTTAAATAATTATTTTATTTTTTGTTCTTTTACGTAGTCTCTTGTTCTTGATGTAAGATTAGTTTTTAAAAATAGAACTTCAACAAGAAGAATTAGAGGTGAGTGATTGAAAGAATTGAGTTGAATTTAAATCAGTGATGGTATAGAATCCTTTGTCTGCGGATAAGGTTCCATTTAGTGTTGTGTATTGAGGACAAAGTTGAATGTTTCAGAGACCGCATGAATTAAATGATTTAAAATTTCTATGAATGTTTCTCTGTCTATAAATATTAAATTATAATTGCTTGGTGGTTTTAATGATTGGTATTGAGAATAATATCGGACAATTAAATTTTGGTAATGCTGATTTTTTAATACATTTCCTCGTTGGTAACGTAAATTTAGTCGATCTAATCTATCTAAAGAAGATTTAATTCGATCTAGTGTTATGGCACTTAGATGTGCTATATATATATATATATAACGTTATATGTACTATCCATATATGTTCGTTCTCTTTCTTTCGTTTCATGCGCGTATAGCTAACTATATCTTTTCTTTCGTTCTGTTAGATATTTTTCCTAATGGGTTCTTTTGCTTTCTTCTTGTACGTTCGTTCTTTTCTTTGATCTAACAGCTCGTGTTCGTTTTCTTCAATATCTATTGTTATACTTTTTTTTCTTCTCTCGTAAAAGTTAAGAAAACGCTTTTCTTGACCTTGAACTGGAATAATTGAGCAGTTAGTAATGCGTGACTATATACATATAGATATATATATAGAGGAAGTTGTGGGTTTTGATCCAAAAATAAAATATAACATCTTAAATATATCTATATACACTTCAACGTAATTAAGGACATAATATATAGGCCTGTTGTTGAATTCGTCCTAGAAGAAACCAGAAGAAAACAAAAGAACATCATAACTTGTCACAAAGACTGAGGAATAACGGCATATGGCGATAGATATAATGTTTACATTAAACCATGAAACAATCAAAGTAATTAAACGGATGACAGAAGAAAGAAAAACACGAACAAACATTAAATTATGTGTTTTGTAAAGTGTAATTTCATACATACGACGATCGATGTATTGGAGCTAAATAATGACTTATATATAGAACAAGTAATGATGATCGGGAGTCGATTCGCATGGCCCTAGACTGAACTACTGGGTGTGCACATATTTTTACATTTTCATCTGCACTTCCCTTAAGAAAATAATTTACCTAATAGTAAAATAATAATGTAAGATTCATGTGGAAATGGGTGTGGGTGTGAGTGTGAGTGTGAGTATGAATGAAGATAAGATAACAGCGACGCCCCACACTCACACCTACCCTTTTTCTTGTTTATTTTACCCACCTGCATGCTGAGTGTCATGGTCAGGATACAAATTGAATTACTAACACTACGTATATTATATTCTGCCTTTATGTCATGTCTTACGTTTTTTGATGCTTTTTTTCTCTCTGCTTCTCTGTCTATATGCTCGATTCTTTTCTGAAAAAAGAAACATCATTGGTATGTCATTACATATCAACGAGAGAGAAAGGATATTGTTTGCATAACATATAGATGAAATGCTTTTATTGTTCGCGTGCGATTCGTACTTTTATATTTTTGTTGAGTCCGTTTTTTCTTAAGGCTCGAAATAAAAGAAGTGATTCTGCAGAGCATTGAAAGGAGAATTAATACTGAGATATTAGCATCGTTTCATTTCTTTGCCGTTCTCTTATAGGGGCCTCCCTCAGAAACAAACTCTGATATTTTTCATCCGATTTCAACCAAAATTTCAGAGAATGTTAGTCTTGACTAGAATAGATTATGATTAAAATCTCTCCCCCCAAACCTCAAAGAAGTGCGCAAGTTCTAGTCAATTCATTACCCTTTTCGCGGGCAAAAATTTCGCAATAAGAATACGAGCTAACAAGCCCGGGTGGTTTTCAAGTTGTAGAGTACCCTTAGAGCTAGGACTTAACAGGATTCGATTTTTGAATTTTCCTTTATTTGATTTTTAAAAAACATTTTTCGAAAAATTTTCAAATTCAAAGTGCTAATAAAGATGAACCATCTAAGGTTTTTATTTCAGCGAAAGAGAAATTTCAAAATCGGACCTTGTTAAATCTTAGCCCTACATGCCTCCTGTATAATAAAAAGAAAATTATCACCTCTATGTCTAGTCGTTATGGAGAAAAACCTGCTGGTGTAAACTGCATGACGAAAAAACTGATTTCGAGAAAAACGAAAAATAAGTATTAGAAATCGATTTTTCCGCAAATCACCTGATTTATATATCAGTGTTCAAGATAGGCTATACATATGTGATCTTAATATCAAGTTTAAATAGTCTCTTAGTGATAAGTATTTAAAAAAACTTTACGAAATGCTGAGGCAAAGAGAAAGGAGCCTAAAAAGTCAAAAATCCTTGAAAAAACACCATAAAAATTTCTCGAAAAACACGATAGGAGAAGCCAAGTTTGGGTGTGGGTGTTGGTCATCGAAGGAGATAAATACCCACCTACATCCACACCTACAACCTACGCGAAATCTTCTTCACATAATGCCAAAGACTTATCATATTTATACCGTTGTTTTTATCTAGTTCTTATCAACATGCTACATAAAGATAGTCTGATAAGAAATATTTTTCATCAATCAATAAAATTGCATAAGTAAAATCTGCTTTATTTTGTAGATTGCAGAGCTTGTTAAAGGCTACTATAAATTTCAGTGTGACTTTTGACTCTGAAACGGAATTTATGTAGATTTGTGGAGGAAGATTTCCTCTATTCAGTGACATGTGTACTGTTAACTTATGTTGCATACCGTGGTTGAAACTTGAATAAAAAAAAAGTCATGCATGTTATATCTTTTTAATCAATATTCGTATACTATAATCTAAATCATATTGAATCAACATAGAACCTAATTCAAGCATTTATATACTGCTCGGCTCTACACTTGAGTTATGGTGTGTCTTACACAAACCTACATATATCCTGTTCCACAGTAAAATCCGTGTAGTAGCCTTTATTCAATGAAGCAAAAACATACTATTAAATACATTATTCATGTTGAAGAAGCATGAGCAAAAGCCATTCTGCTCTCTTCTTAATAAAAAAACAATCAATATTTAATAATAAAAAAAAAGAAAAAATCAAGACTATGTATATGCAAAATTGAAATATGAGAAGTGAATGTATTTTTATTAGAAAAAATGACGAACTGGTGATTTGAATAAATTAAAAATGTCGATCAATTTTGTTGTTGTTCGATTAAAGTAGATGTTGTTGAAGTATTTGTAGTATTGACATGATCACCATACAAATAACTAAAAGATAGTTTACATAGTATTTAAAGTAGATATAATGAATGCCAAGACTGATAGTCTGTACTTCTAATTATTTTTCATATAGGTATATTATAAAAAAAAAGTTTCATAATTGTCGACCGATTCGTTCTCTATGATTAGCACTTTAATCTTCAAAGTTGATGTAAAGTGTAAACAATACCGTAGAATTTTAGTGAAAAATGACTGAACAGTTTAGAATGACAAAATATCAAACAACTCAACGCACAATATTTTTCATTCTATCATTTTATGCAGGGTTATAACTTTCGAAGCTTATTTATTTCTTGTAGATGATATTCTTCAGTTTCTGTTGCACTAGTTTTATTAGGATATGGAGATAGTTCGGACGTATAATTTGTGGCTTATTTCGAATTCTCAGGAGTAACGTAAAATATTTATTTTCATCGATTTTTAATAGATTGTAAATAGCTATCGTCTGATGTATGTCGTCTTTTACTAATGCAAATATATGATTTGATCAACTTACTTAATAGTGTTATTGAATTTGCTTTGATTGATGTTGATGACTTCAGAGTACTGCTAAAGGTAATCATATTGCTGGTCTCGGTTGTAGAAATTGGAATACCTGTTGTAGTACCTAAGTAGTTTGTGGAATTTAGATTCAAGAGTAATAATTATCATAAACTGTACAAGATTACCACTATCACCATCATATGAATTCAAATTTCGAGATGACTAGGAAACGTCGAAATACTTAGTTTATAAGTATCCATAAAAATTGATTATGCTTCTATTCATAACAGAGTATATTCTATTCTCAGAAGTGTTCACTTAAAGACTATTAAAAGATATTACAAAATATGGTGTAATTTTGGTTGTCAACAAGCCTGCATTGATTTAAAAGAGTGTAAAGCAGATATTTAGAAAATATAATAAAAATCAAATGTGACAAATATTATGATGCGCGAAAGATCTATCGCAATTCAAACATCATTTTAAACAATTGAACGAGAAGTACAAACTGTGGACAAAGTCCGTCCTATCAATCTAGTTATACCTTATAGTTCATCACGTGTTGCTAGTCGCAAGGTTAAATACTATGAGGATGAAGAAAAACGCAATCAAAAACCATGCGTGTCAATCAGAAATACATATTGTTCGAAAATCTGGATACCATCAAGTAAAAAATATATAAGAGTCTGTGCCGGTGTAAATGCCTGGACCCAAATCTATTTATCAATAAGTGTCTTCTCAAAACTAGCATCGATTACTTTTCTGACAAAGTGCTGAGCGGGTTAGAGATCTACTAAATGTTAACTAACTTACTAGTTGGTGGTGTAATTGATGTAATACCAACTAAAGCTGGACCACGGATTAATACCCAAAAGTCTCCCATGACAAATGTTTGAGACGTAGTTACAACCAAAATATATGTGCGAGCAGATGAAAGGTGAGACTTAATAATAAATACTCTTTGTGTGCTATCATTATCACTAAAGTCGATGATATTTGCATATGGCTTGGATGGATCAAAGTATGTGTCGTACAAATAACCCACAGTGTTGATACGAGATACACTTAGAAAAGAGTAAGTTCCACTTGTGGCCACGGTAATTCGAACAGCCTCATAGTAATACGAATCTTGAATATTACTATTGGGTCGAGAAAATTTTGGGCTATTTGGCATTAGTGCACTCGCATAATGTGACAACACTGAAGGTGAATCCGGTACTAAAAGAATCGAAGACAGTAAATATTATAATGCATTCAACAGCGAATAATAGTTCAAGAAAACTAGTGAAAGTAAATATTATTATGAAGTTGTCCAGATATTACTGTCGAGTATGAATATGTTTCTGTGCAAATTCGATAACTGTAGAAACAATATAGCTATAAGGTGATAGTTTTCAGCTCTGAAAAGAGAATAAGTGTTGCCACGTTCAAAGAAAATTACTACTAAAATTTCATTCTCAAAACATCTAACTGATACAGGCGTCTATCACATTTTTGTTCTCTTCTAATATTCTCTTCTAAATTTCCTTAATCTATTTAGAATAACATGATAAATGTAAAAAGAATTTTCAAAAGTACCAGAATTTGCAGCGATCGTTGCCTGCTAAATTAGTTTTTTGCATACACCAGCCGTATACACTTGGAAAAGAACACTAAAAAAAATAAACACTATCCCAAGACTCAATATATTTGCCTCCCTATGTTCTGGCATGATTTACATTGCGGTAATATCGCTAAGAATATATAAGTAGATACTTTTGTTATTGCTCTAGCATGCATAGTAAAAGTGTAATAACTTGATGTCAAAGGTTCTACTAGAATTTGAACAATATTGTCGATTTTTAACAATAGTTGTAGGTTAATATAAAGCTAAGATATAGTGTTGGGTATGTGGATATGGAGCGTGGGTATGAGACTGATTGTAATTGGAAAAATGCCTTACATTTACATCCCTCCGTTTCATATAGATCTTGAAGACTTATGAGTACTTCCACTAGATAACTCTAGAAAAGGACTAATGATCCTCTACAACTCTTGGGAACTGCTACGTACTTAATTATGATAGACTTGCAAAATGAATAAACATGTACTTAAAATATCAAAGATAAAGAACCTGTACTAGTTGTTGGTAACGGAAGACATGGCTCATTGTGAATAATTCTAAACTTGAGAACACGATCATTGCTGCGATCGCACACATAGAGGTTGCCATCATTGTCAAATGCCAAATCGACAGGTTGGTCAAGTTGATTAAGTTTATCACCCCAACCTATAATGAAATGTTTTCGGAGAATGATAATAATTCAAATATTTTTTCTCTCTATAACACAGAATTTAAATTTTTAAGTATTATTGATTACAGGTGAATGAGAATTAAGGCTACAGATTATTATAGTCATTCACCTTCGCTCTCAGTTCACTATAGCAAAAGTTCAAAATTGCTTCTTCGATAAAAGTATTAGTCTATTTTTCACTTGATTCTTATATTTTATCCATTTGAACTGAATACAATTTATAGCATGCAAAAAGCAAACTATATCTTCTAAACGTCTGATCAGAAACCTAGGCAAAACTAATCAAATTTTAATGTCCATACCTGTTCCACCAGCAACAGTATCACCCATGAACGCATTTGGTAACCAACGTTGAATTCGATTATTGTCTGAATCTGCTACATACACAACTTGAGTTTCGTCATCGACCCATATAGTAGTCGGATACGACAACGATTCAGCATCACTACCTTGATCGCCTGTGCTAAATCCAGCCACAGTTGTACCATTCAGAGCATTTTTTAACCATTTCTGGATGCGGTGGTTTGCATAGTCAGCCACATACACAGTACCACTAGTATTGTCAACATAAATGCCTTCCGGAGAATTGAGAGAATCACTTCCAGATCCTTGACCAAATTCTCTACCGGCGGCGACCGTCGTAATATTTGTTTGTGGCGACCACTTATACACACAATGTTTCGTCACTGATGTCATATAAACATTTTTCTCTTTGTCAACCCATACGCTTTCACACATCAAACATTCTCCTCCGACTTGCACGCCGTCTGGTGCTCCTTTAACCCATTTTTTGACACGGTCTTCGTTTCGAACAGAGACATAAATGGTTTGCCCATCGTTATCATCATCAACATAGATCTTTGTAGGATATGTGACATTGACTATCACAGTAGTACCCATACTCGATAGCTGATTAAGTGTAAAAACTTGAATACGGTCGTTACCAGTGTCAGATACATATAATGTGTTTGTTTGTCTATGAATAAAAATTCCTTCAGGTTCACGAAGTTGATCAGGGTTGTTACCTCTTCCACCGAGACCAGCCACTATTTCACCTGTTGTATTCCATCTTGCGCAAGGACTAATTTTTATCGATATTGTAGATGGTATCCAACACCAAAATATGATTTGAATATGCAGAAATATTAAAAATACCTCACTTACTGTACTCATTGTTAAACTTACAAGTATCAATGATAAAAATATAGATTAATGAAATTTTTCAGTGACTAAAAAGAGAAAAAGAAAGTGCAGTCTCAACACAACGAAAGCAGATTTTGAAGTAATGTTTGCGTCAGATTGATAAGATATATAGATATGTAAATATATAAGACTGTCATGCACGCGTAGTATATACCTGGTGAAAAGTACATCCTTGTAAATACTAACAAGATGAATTAGAAGTAACTCGACAGTTTATTTATTCTTCAATCCAAGATTTGAAGGGTGTGAGTGTGTGGTTGTGGCTGTATGGGTTGTGAGTATTATTCTTTTCTTAACCCATCGCACACCCATACCCACACCCACACCCGAAAAACCCAGTCGCGTCAAATTTGAACTCAATTGAAGATTCACTTGCAACTTTCAAGATTCTTCCGCTGTACCCTCACTTGCTGCGATGAAAATTATGTGTAAGACTTTGGAAGTCATGATTATTGAAAATGATTTCAATTTGAAAGTTGAAACTTAAAATTTCAATTGAATTCAAGCTTCAAGTTTGACATATATGTAGCTCTGTAATTACATGAAGCAAACAATTATTTATATAGTCGATTTATGATATGCGAGAGTATTCTTCCCATTTACCTTCAAAAAACTATACAGTACATAAAAAATTTTATTCAGTAACTGTAGGTACTTCAATGCCTTCATGCTACGATTAGAATATATCTTTGGATAGAGCTAAAAGTACTGTGTCTGAAAGACAAATTTTCGAAAGATTTTCATTACAGAATCATTCAGAACTCTTACGGATTCAGTATTTTTTTCTATGTCAACACTTTTACTAAAATGATATTCCAGCATAGCGAACAGTGTGAAAGAGAGATTCTTATTGAACAAGTAACTGAGAACGAATTCCCACATAGATGATATAATGGAGATTGAAAAGGTCTATTCACGTATAAGTTTAAGCCAAAGTTTGGGACACGAAAATTCCCGAAGTCAGCTCATGCAATGTCGATAAACCAGGTCACCAAGCTACAGAGAGCTTTGTTGCGTATTTGAATTTCATCATTATAAAGTAAAAGTAAAAGTTTTAACGAGAACTCCCATTTTCACCGTCATTTTTGCTAGATAAAAGTGTTGGATGAGATTCAAATGCGACAGAGATAATTCATATGTACGAAAGATAGTGTTGTCAAGTATATGAATGAATAGAACTATATGAATTCGGATGAACAGTTGAAAAGAAAAAAAGAAGATATAGTTGAAAATTGTCAGTAATCAATCAGAAAAAGAGCCAACAGTCACATCAGTTAGCAAAGGAAAAAGAAAAAGCTAGGGAACCGAAGTTAATCGAACGGCATAAAATTTTTTTTAACCCAGAAATGGGAATTATCATGTTCAACAAAAAAAAAATAGTTAACGAAAAAATTCTATCTTCACATTTTGAAAAACAAAGTAAATATTTTGTTGAACTTATTGAAACTTTGTTCTATTTCGTGTATTGATCATAGTCGTATTTTATTTTTAATCTACTTTATAAAATAGAAAATTGATCCAATTTATTTAGCTAGAAAACAGAATATCGAACATAAAATTTGTTAAAATGATCGAAAAAATATTTTGAAACTCTTCCATCAAAGTTTAACGTACACTTCTACTATATGTAAAATATTTTAAAAGAACAGTTCTGTTAATATTTGAAATATGCGCTGCAGGATGGAGTAGGGCTATGAATATCGCTGTGGACGTACATCAATGTTTAGAGAGAAGACTAATACTCAAATCCATACCTTCATTTATAACTCACACCCTATCCATATCCATCCTCTCCATTATTAGCCTTCAATAGTTTACTGAAACTGACGTACGATTGTATAATTACGTAGTAGTTTTAATAGGTAATGTAATCAAATAGAGAATTTCAAGACATTTACAAGTGTTCGAAATATCAACATGTCGTGTTCTCTACATGATGTATTGTAAATTTCCTATTATGATTTATTATATTGTATACGGCATTTTCCCAAATTGTTTTTAAATAATAGTTAAAATAGAAATGATTTTTGTATTTATTCTTATATAAAAGTATTTAATAAAATTATATTTTATTTATTCTTTCTTATAAAGACATATTGTGAAGAAATTTTTGTTCAATGGTTTAAGTAGTTATCTTGAAATATATTACGCATTCTCATTTGTAATATAGTTTAAGAAACAGAATCAATTCATATCGTTATTTTGACTTAAATTTCAAGCTGAAATTATCAATAAAGAGATTAGTTACATAGTTTGTTCATACAAGTATACTGAAAAAAAATTTTAATATTGAATACTTAATCTTTACTATATAGAAAATAATAGTATGAATATGATACAGAATATTAAATATTTTTGAATTTCTTTAAGAAAAAAAAAATCTATATTACCATATTGGTTTCGTTATATATTCAACTAGACTTATTTAAAAAAATTCACAAAGTTTATTTTGAGAAAATGAAGAAATTGGGAAAAATTGATGTTTAATTAAAGAATAACACATATAATCAATCACTAAAATGAAAATAATTAGAATGAATATTTTTTAAATAACATAAAAAATCATATTGAAATTCTTTTAAACAATGTTTATTAACACAATTCAATGTGTTATACAAAGGAAGAGGATAGTTTGCTGTTTATGATTCATCAAAAAGGAAAAGAAAAAGAAAATGTTATCATCCGTTTAGTTCATCAAATAATCAACAAACATGTACACGTTTTATTTCGTTCTAGATATATTTATTTCATCTTTTACCATCTAAATTGAATCAACAAACGTAAATCATAGACTGAAAACAAAAAAACAAACGTTTATTTGATATTAAATATGTCAATAAATTCCATTGAAAATCTCTGTGATGAATTATTTTATGAAATTTTCGATTATCTTAATGGTTGCGAACTTTATTATGCTTTTTCAAATCTTAATTCTCGTTTTCAACAATTAATTAATTCTTCATCACTTCTATTAAAACTAAAACTTATTTATTCACGTACACAAGAAATATTTATGAATAATTATCAACAAGTTTTATGTTTCAATAAAAATCAAATATTGTCAATCCATTTATGGTTATCAGAAAATACTAATCAAATTATTTCATTATTGAACATTGATTCATCATTTATTCGTCTTGAATCTCTTATTTTGAATTCAATTGAACCAGATCTATTAAATAAACTTCTTCCTACATTGATTGTTTACCTCGTCTTTTCTCATTAATAATTGATACATGGTCTAGTCAAAAAGAATTAGGTAATACCTATCAATTAATTTTTAATTTACCAAAATTAAAATATATTAAATATACAGCAATGGAATCTAATGATGTTGATATAACTATTACATTACCAATAGCAACTAATAAACAAATAACTTTTATTGAACATTTAATTATCGATCATCCTTGTGCTATCGATGAACTTTTTGCTTTAACATCTTATACTCCATATCTTTGTCGTTTAAAATTTTTAAGTCTTACCGATCGAAATGTGAATATTAACAATGTTAAACCAATTATATTACGAAATTTAACACATCTATCTATTCGTATATATACTACAATGTCATTTAATGTATTTCAAATATTTATTAGTAATTTAAATTCAAAACTAAAATATTTATCATTAACAACATTAGTTGAAGATATTAATTATCTTGATGCTAATCAATGGGAAAATTTGATTTTAACAAAATTATCTTATTTAGAAAAATTTGATTTTAAATACAGTGCATGTTTAGTAGAAAATTATGATACTCCAATATATCTTGGACAACTTGATCAATTTATCTCATCATTTTGGCTTCAACGACAATGGATATTAGACATTGAATTTGACTTTGACAATATTATTTATTCAATACGTCCATATCAGTATGTACATATATATGTTGTGACCGAAGTTAGAATTCAGCTTGATTCGTAATTCGTCCAGCCGAAATTGGAATTATTGTTTAATGACTAGAAACCCATAAAAAAAAAGAAAATTAAAAATCAATTTTTTAAATTTAACAAAAGCAAATTAACAAATATCACAAATTCAAAGTGGATTTACCTCCTCTCGGCAAATTAGAATCCCACCCTAAAATAAGATGTCACACTCACCCTAATACTTCGCTCGACATAAAAGAAGATCATAGGTTTTTCATAAATCCGAGATAATTTTGAAGTTTTACCATTTAAAGGAGTCATTTTTGAGTGAAAAGCTAAGTGTTCACTATTAAAAAACACTATTTACTCTTATATTCAGCGAATTTTACAGTATTTGAATATAAAATTTGTCCATTTGGAGACTAGAAGCTTATCTTAAAATCTTTGATTTCACAAAGAGCTTTTGACAGAAACGTAAGTTCATATTAGAAGGTCACCGTCGAAAGAAGGATAAAAATTTTTAGAATAAAAGACCATCTCTTCTTATTTTTGGAGTGGGGAGAGGAATTACTCAAGGTCAGAACAGGTGCCTTTCTTTGAGTGGCCTTTAGTAGAACAAGATGCATGGGCTCTTTTCACACTCTCACAGTCACAAATCAATTCTTCAATATTTTTTTATACATCTTGAACCTTTTAATATTCATTAAACAATAATTCTAATTTCGTCCAGTCGAAATTAAAATTCCACTTTAGTCCAGACGAGGTTAGAATTCCGAATCAGGCTGAATTCCAACTTCGGCCATAACATATATATATATATATATAACGTTTTTACAATGAATATTTTCTTTGTTTTAGAAAAAGATGGTATGAATATGATACACAAAATCAAATAATTAATTCTTCTGATGAATTATCGAAATCTATTCGACTTCGTTTAGATGAAGTATGTCCTGAACAATGGACGAAAACAATATATTTAAATGATTATATTAATCATGTATTATGTTTAACACATATTTATCATTTAGAAATTCGTGCAAAAATTTTTTGTGATAAATTAATGGAAATTTTACATTTATTACCTGATGTTATAACATTAAAAATTTATTCGTTATCAATTTTAAAACGAGAAAATTTATCAAAAGATGAAATTGAATTTCTATATATTTTATTACCTAAAAATCAAATTCAAAAAATTTCTTTTGGAAATATGAAAGATACAGATGAACTTTATATGTTAATTTTAATTTGTCCACGTATTAATCATCTTCATATTGAATGTATTAATTATATGCATGCGGAATGGTTAATCGAACTTATTTTAACAGAAATTAAAGTTGTATCTAATTCTTTACTTCGATTATTATGTTTTTCTATTCCTGAAGCAAATGATGAAATGTGTGAAAAATTACAAGAAATGATTGATAGAGAGAATTTACGTTTTGATTTTATAATTAAACATGTTATGAATAAAATTTATTTACAATGGATATAATTAGCAGATTATTTATTGTAATTACTTTAGTTCGAAAATTGTTTAATAAAAACTTTTATAACTTTGAACTCATATGTCTTCTGTCAAACATATTGATGTTGATGTGCACAGCATTTCTATAGATTTCAAAGAAAACATTTCATCCGTTACTAACCGATCAGCACTACTACCAATGTTTGTGAAAAACACAAGTGCGACAAAGATAACGATACATATAACCCCCACAACCAGTATGTTGATCATAACAACCATTAAGAAGATTATCACAAAACATCATCATTACGACCACAACGAGAACAAACTTCTTGAGAACTATAAAAAAAAGGTTTCGTACTGGTGTGGATGTGAATCTTGAATTCTTTCACACGCATATTCACACCCACACCCCTAATTTACAAAGTCGTAATCTCTACTAAAGACGAAGTACGACTAGATAATAATCCAACCAGTACACACTTCACCAAACGCACATATCATGTCGCATTGACACAGTCTGTTCATCTAAGAATATGAACATATGCCCGGAACGAAGAATACAGAGTCAGAATTATACTCATATACGGCTGTATACTTCCTATAATTCTCCATATACAATTACAGCAATATAGAATGGGTGTTAGTAATTTATGTTTTGGGCTGCCTTGCATCATTCTAAATCATTCTGAACAAGTCTGAATCATTCTAAGTCCATGCAAATTGAGGAAATATCTCTGTCGAGAAACCATTGCATCAAAGTAACAATCACTCTCAGTTTAAATTTGCGTAAATAATCTTACTGATTTGGCTGTTATTTATAGAGTAGATACATACATCTGCATCATAAATAAATTCAAAGTTTTAGTTCGAATGGATGTGGTATTCAGAAGATAATACTTTTGCATCAACTCTTAGCATTGCAGAAACGTACAAAATTTATATGTAATTTCCCTCACATTGTAAGTATTATTCATTATAACTACTGAAATGTAACAATTATCAATGCAGGAAGGATTCGATATAAGGACATCCTTTATTGAGTCGAACTAAAACAATCGCAGCTTTTTGGATCATACTATCTTTAGTTTATATAATTTGGAAATTGTAATCTCTCGTGTTTGGTGTGAGTGTCGGTGGATGTTGGTGTAGTTGTGACTGTGGAGTAAAAAAAATACTCACTTTTCACATCTGGATAAGAGAGGTTCAAGACAAGATGGAAAAAAAGAGGAACCAATGCAGGTCCAAAAAATACGATATTACCGCAATAAATACTATGACAATATGTTTATGCTTAAATTCTACATCAAGTATAGAAAGAGTAAATGCCATTTTTAGAATCTTATTCTAATTAAATAAGGGATTTAAATAAAATTCCTCTCAATAATTACATTTCTTCTACATTTTTCAAAGATTTGATAAAAGCATTAATTTCCATCGAGTAAACATGAGGTACTTTCACTACTTACTATAATTTCGACAAACAGTACGTTAGACATGTTAAAACTGAAAAGAAAATTTTTGCAGTGCTTATTCTAGCAGTTTCAATGATAAATTGATGACATTTTCATGAACAGAATAGCACGAAATGAAATAGATGCAAACAAGCTGAAATACAAGCTAATTCAAAATTGTAGCCATGCAAAGAAGAGAGTATGGATAAGCTAACGAAGAGAATACATCCATTCTCATTCATACACGTATTGTTAGAACCCTTAAAAGTTAAACCCATTTGTTATAGAAGTTTCGTAAAATATTATTTTATTTGTTATTATTTGAATAATCACGGTTTATGAGAACAAAAATGTCACTTTTCTTTGATTTTGATGTCCATGTAGCATTTTATCATGTTGTACCCATCGATCAATCATCTGAATCGCTGCCACCTTCTCCTTTATGTCTTCTTCCTCTACCTCTGCCTCTGTCCCTGCCTCTTCCTCTTCCATGTCCTCTGCCTCTGCTTTCACTTTCACTTCCATCGCTTTCATCGTCTTCATCAATCTCTTGAATTTCATGATCGTCATCATTATCATCAACATCTAATGCTTTCATTTGATAATCAATAGAATCATCATGATCCCAATAATCATGACCTAAATCATCCTTTTCCACTTGACGAATGGTCCATGCATCGAAGCATAAATCCGGATTTGTCAAATAATCATAGGGAATATAACAATATCCTTTATCACCCTAACAAAAGATTTACTATAAATATTTATTTATAAAGAGACAATTATATATTACCCATTTTTCTCCCCATGAGTTTCGAACAATAAATGCTCTTGATTGGTCACTATAACCAACAGCTAACATTGCATGTCTATAGTGGCAATCATATACAAGATTACTGAGCTTTTTTTTTTATCAATTTTATATTTGTACCTGCCATGTTCTGTTCGACCTTGTTCAGTATCATTTGGCATCGGTACAACACCAGTTGTAGCAGCTTTATCAAAGGATTTATACAGTCGTAAACCAAATGCAAATGGAAAACCTTGTGCAAGACAAGCTTTCATTTCGCTTAAATTTATATTTATTTTCAACGCTTCTGTTATTTGATAATTTTTAGCTTGTTCAAAACTTTCATCAGAAGGTTTTACATTAACAGATAATATATTGTACGGCCAAACTGATTCAAAACAAGTTCCATACTCTTCCAATGCTTCAATAGCTTTTGTCATTGAACAGCCTTTATCAGTTATTGGAGTATTTGGATCCTTCTTAAATCGTCCGTTGTAATAAATAAATAAACGACTTACGTCGACGTATGAACCAGTTGTTTTTTTCATCAAATATTCGTAGGCTCCTATAATAAGGCATGTTACTAAAACAGAAAAATGTATATCATTTATTTGTGTACCTGCAAGTGAGTTAGCCGTACTAAATGAAATACGTAAGAACAAAATGATAGACTTTTATATTTGAAAATATTTTCTCACCAACTACCAATTCTTGATTGGTCTTCAACAGGTGTCATATCTGATCGAAGATCAACTTTTGGTGGAAGTTGGTCATCGTTAAAAAGAATGTGATCAGAAAAAAACTGTCGCAAATTTTCCTTTGATGGCAGGCTAACTGATGGCAGAATACCATTGAGTCGAAATTTTTGAGCACTCAATCGATTATATAGATAGGTTCGAAGTGGCATTTTTAATATTTATGCTAGAAAAGACACAAGTTTCCTCTTACTTACATAAATAAACTCAGTATCCTTCAATAATTGCACACGTGATAACAAGCATGGTGTCTCTTTTTATTTGTTCTATGTGATATTAAATCAATACATTCGTCTTTCTTTTCGACTACCTTGTTTGTACACGCATCGTTTCATAGTGATACATTAGTTGCCAGACGGTATGCATCTTTTTTTTCCTTTCTGTTCTTATTGTAACATTTCGATAGAAAAATAATGTTTGTCAATCATATTTGACTACATGCCTCAAGGTTATCAGCGAAAAAAATCTGTTGAATATATTCATTTTTTTTCGCTTATTTGAAAATATTCATGTTCGTCCTATGATGTTTTGTTAACTCGTGTTCTTCGAAGATATTGAATCTGTGATGTATGAAATGAGACGGACGCAGAAAAATCTTGCTTTTGACGTATAAAATGTAAATAGACGGAAGAATTTCTGCACTTGCAACGTATAAAATAGCATGCTTTAAAGTCAATTACTTGAGACAATATTTTGTCCTAGTCGGCAACATGATTTTCAACTTTTCACTTGATACTTAACAAAAAGATATTTATAAGAATTTTTTTTCACGTAAAAGTTGTCATCGATACCGATGAAGAAATTGTGACAATCGGATATTCTCACAAACAACTATCTCTATGCAAAATGTACAGTCTTGAATCAAAGATAAATTTTATCATATATTCCTGTGTGAACCATACCATATATTTAGTTGGTACCGTCTACTAAAAGCTGATTTTGTTTTAATCTGTATATGAAGCACTGGTGGTGATCTGATCTTACTTAATTAAGTAAAAATAAATGAACCATTTATCTTTCGAAAGTAAACATAAAGTAAAGAAATAAAGGATTTCTTTTCGAAACACCAATATGACTGGAAATCTTACAGCGCACAGACCATATCTTTAGACAGATTTTAGTCGTCACATAAATATAACTTCACTTAAAACAAATTAGTGAAGAAACGAAAAGGATTTGCACTTTTTTCTCAATATTTAGTGGATTTCAGTTAGAAAAACAACAATTTCGTCAAAACTAATATCATAATTAAAATCAGCATAAAGGGTGAGTGGGGTGTGAGTGTGAGTTTTAATGTTCTCTTCACCTACACCTACACCCACACCCTTTGTGTGCATTAAATATCATCATGGTATTCAGTAACATTGTGAGAGATGATAAAAAGAGAATCGAATTAAAGTGTTTGCATTTTTTAAAATGCTGTAGTCATCATGTGTCAATAGAGTGAGTAAGAAGAGAAGCGGAAAGAATTGGCAAAGAGTTTTGCTAGGTTACCGTTAACATTAGTAGAAGTTTTGTTATTTTTTCTGTTTATTATTGCTGATAAATGAAATATTTTTGTCTGTTGTCGTTACAGAAAAGAAACTTCTAGTACAAATATTCTTCGTTGTTGTATGAACACGCAACATGCAATAAATTATTGTATAGGTAATATCACAACATCAACACATGGATTCTAGTAAAATTTGTTAGGAATGGTTTTCGTCAACATGATGATATTCATGCAGGGTGTACAAAACCATGACAACTCCCTTCACAACTTAAAGTGTCAGGGCTATTACACAGTATTCTATACCAAAACTATGTTCATCAACAACTGAATTTATGAAAGTAATTATTAACGATTTCCATCCTATATGCGCATACGTATCTATTTACATACCAATCGACGCAGTTTTTTTTAATTGAGATTATGACTTTGCTATGATTTTTTTGCAAAGGCTTGCATTATAACAAGTCCGATCAACAGTATGTGCGCCTTGAAAAAGAATATGGTGATTATTTGAGCAACTACAACAGATGACACTATGTGAAACAACACTTTAAAGAATTCGTATGAGTCAATCAAAAACTAGCAGAATTATTCATGTGTAATTTCTGCTCGAACTTAGGAAACTTTTTGTATTTCAGCCAGCACAAAAAACATGTATAAATAGTATTGTTTTCTGTCATACAATCATTTTTTATACCAATCCTCGTGAGGCGACCATTCGTTGCAATTGATACATTGTGTCGTTGTCCATTGCTTTTCACATTGCGGACATTTTCCTCGTGTATCAAATGTATTCCATGAATGACCACATTCACATTGCCATAACGCTTCTCGAGTGGGAATCCAATTGCATTTTGGACATTGTGAATTGTATCCGATAGCCATAACTCTTCTTTAGATCTTAATCTAAAAGAGATCAAAATGCGCTGAATTTGTAAGCAATGGAAAGAAATGATTGATTTTTTTTCGTTTTCATATTGATCTATAAATGATTACTCTTGGTGATGCAATTACTCCATACAATGAAATCACACCATCGACAACTTAATGAGTCAGGAAAGAAAATAAAATATGGACTTGTTTCCATTATGACGATTCATAGTGAATTCAGCCATCTCACTGATGCTTCTAAGTAACAGCACCAATCAGGTCGCTTCATTCAGCATTAGATTGTATAATGGAGAAAGTCTTATAATTGCATATAGTGACAGAAAAAGATGTGAATGAGGACGTTATAGTGGACACAAATGTTGAAGAGAGCAACTGTCTTATTCATTGATTATTCATACAAAATCAGTAAAGGTGTCACTGTTTGTAGTCCCAATTTTTATGTACACTCAATCTAACCTCTTTAATGAAAAAAGCATTCATTCACTGAAAGCCATGTCGTTGATATCTAAGAAAACATCAAAATGATTACTGTATTTGACATAATATCAACAAAGTTTTCTGTTGAACAAACAAAATATATCTGAATGATCTTGCACAATGCTCTGAGCAAAAGAAAACAACACAAATTGGACTTGTTTTTCTTTACCACATTAATTAAAACAAAAATGATGTATCATTTGCCTAACGGTTCTCTGATCATTTGAATAAGAATTCTTTAAGAATATTTTATATATTAGAGAAATTAAATAAACGTAAAATGAATTTTTCAAGAACATTTTAAGACTGTCTGGAATAAATATAGTGTAGAATAGAGTAGAAAATAGGAAAAGATATTATGTTTAATGATGTCTTCAGTATATAGACATACAGGTGTTTGCAAAAAAACTTGGAAACCTTCTTCCACAGATATCTTTTTCTACACAACTGCTCTTCGAATTGTTTTATAGTGTGATAGATAGCCCACGACGAGTTCTGTACAACAGTATAATTTCATATTCTTTTGATTGACTTATAAAAATATCGAAGAGAAAAGAAATTACACTTCTATATATACAACGTGTAGTATATCTGTCGAGGGTTTATCTCTCAAAAAATGACTTTTGTAGTTACTTATAATAGTAGAGAAAAACGTTTTAAGAAAAAAAAACTTTTTTTCCAAGTTTTTTTGCAAACACCTGTACCAGGTGAAGTTATTATGACACATGCAGCTTTTGTATTAACTGAGAAAGATTGTACTTGATTCAAAATTTGAAAAGGAATTAATGATGTTTGACCATTCGATACATGATGAACATTTCCTGGCTAAGATAATGTTTGTGATGAAATATTAAGTTTAAATATATTGTTAGAAGGCATGACACATCGAACAACTTTTGGATTCATTATCTAGAATGAAGAAAAAATATGTGTTTTGTTTTTCACGTACATATATGACTACAGTTGCGTGAAAATAGTCGACTCTAATAACTGACGTCGTGTATTACCATGGGAGCCATTACATACGTACAATAGCCTCGATCTAAATAAGTCAGAAAAGGCGGCGCTGTATGTATTTTTTCTATTGGTGAAGAGATACATCATTCTATTATCGTCTTAACATTAAGTCATATTAAAAAGATGACTTAATTCTGTCTTAACTTAATTCAAAACTTGATTGGTTAAGTCAGTCTTAATTCGCATAGTGTGCTCGACTCCTATGTACAGAACGAAAAAAAATCGATTGGTTGACGCATAACCAATAAGTAAATAAAAGAAAGTGGGACATATAGATATCATAGGAGAACGAAAGATTTTTATTAAGAAAAAAAAACATAGAACATAACTATTAAATAGGATCATTTTCAGAAATTTGTGATAGTAAATTTTTTAACGATTTATCGCCAAAATCCTGATGTCAAACGAATTTCTCTATATAAGTTGGTAGTAAAAATCTTAGGATTCCATTTTTTTTTGTTTTCGTTTTAAACGCATCCACGTGTTCTCTATATTTTGTGTATGAACGTATATTACAGGATCAACAAAATGAAGTGAGTGGTTGACTGTTTGATGAGTATAATTAGAAATATTTCTTAAATCTGTATACGCTTTCCATTCATCTGAATGAATAGTAGTGCGTACAAAAATCTGTTGTTGATGCTAACGCATGCAATTTTCTAGTATTTACGTTGTCGATATCTTCGATATTTATGTTAATATCCATTATTAAGACGATTTTATAGTAAATTAGAATTGAGAAATTTATGAGAGAAGCGCAGTGAAAACATCAGCTTTATATATGAATATTTTTTATTTATCGTAAATTTGATGTCTTTTCAAAAATCCACCTATTACTTTATTATTGATAGAAATTATAATTTATGTGTTATCAAAATGTGACTCTTTTTTATTCATCTTCCTCCTATTACATCAAAAAGTTATACTATTTTATTAAAAAAATCATCTTAATTAATAGCGCGATATGCTTCATAAAACATCCATACGCAGTTTTCTCATATAATATCTATATGTCTTATTTTCTTTCATTTATTTAATGGTTATGCGTCGACCAGTCGATTTTCTTCCTCATTCTGTACATATATATCATTGACAGCGTGACTAAACTGCAGTAATACCTGTATTCGCTTCAATTCAATATTCGATCATGTTTTTCTACAAAAAAAACCCGGGGGTATGTTACACAGTGATTAGATGGACAAAGATATCCATCATTCATCTCCTATTTTTG